CAGGTGTAAAATACACATTTTTAGAAAACCGATTCGGCTTGTTATGTTGGAAATGTATACGGGTTTTTGGTCCAGTCATTGGCACTGGTGCTCGCGGACCGTGAAGTACACGATAGAGTTTATACCTCAGTTTGAGATTATAACTAGCGGTTAGCCGCAAACCAGAAGAATGTTCCAAATAAATAAAACAAGAAGCTCGTAATATACACCTATATTGTGGACGTAATTGATATTAAAATAGCAGAATAAAACGTTTCAAAAGTTTCATTAGAATAATGAAACATTCATTCAATAAAGGAATATTAATGTACACCTAAATAATTAATATTATTCTACGCTGCTGTACCATAATTTTATCAAAATCGTTTTCGGGCTAGTTAAAATTCCATAGATGGAATATCATATCAGAAAATAACGTGCCCTATCTAACGAGCCATGTGGCTTCAATCAGTCAACTACTGAGTGCACGGTAAATTTAAAGTATACATCATGTATGTATGTATACAGTGGGTCATAGAGATGAGCGAGGTCAGAAGTCAATTGGGCTGAGCATGTCTTGACATTGCGTCTTAGGAAACAGAAAAACTCCGTCTCGGAATGGATTTTCGTCCGCAAAGTTTTGCGTGTAAAGACAATGTGCTGGCTGAAGGTGTTCCCATTACAATTATACAATTCTATAAATAGATAAAGAACAGTGTTCTCTAACGAGGTCTCGATGAAAAGCCGGCGTAATATTAATATTGCAGGGCCTGTAAGGGAAACTTTCTCGATAATCTGTGTGAACACTATCATTTTAGAAAATATCGAATATCACACACCCTCGCCTAATTTTTAACGTACAGGTAAAAAATGTAGCTCACCTGGTTGATTTTCCCACACTTGCAGGTAGATTTAATGGATTGGGTTAGTAAAAAATTACTATGTTAAAAATTAAATGCGTTTTTTATGAAAACATTGCAATAGAAAATTTTATATTTAGTTAGGAAACAACTCCTCAAGTTCTTTTTCTATTTTAATCTGTAAAATTAGATCCTCTTTAAAAATTGAAGTAAGTGTATGTAAATCTGTATAAATAGAAAGAAGACCACCCATTAAACTCTATTGTGAAAGTAATTTGTATAGTTGTGTTTTTTTAATTAGAGATTTAATAGCATCGGAATCGAACGGGGTTTTTAAATTGAATCTTGACTAATGTCTAAAATAGAAAAATAAATTACTATTAAAAAACCAATTTCAAACAATTCACAACAATCGTCTAATTGTAATTGAATGCGTTTTAATTAGCACCGTTATAGGGTGTCATGTGGTATTGAAATAATCAATTAGCAAAATTTCTAGGATTCTAATTCCCTATATTTTACCAATCGAAATTTCGCAAATATCAGAGCTCAATTTCAAGCGTAAATCGAAACATCCCCTCAAAAATTACCTCTTTCGTCCCTGATGAACTTGCCGCAGCAGAGCTCCCCTGCCACCCCCAGCAGGACCAGCAGCAATCCCCAGAAATGTTTATCCATATTATTCGCAACGACGATTACACCCCCGATTGTTCAAAACCCGCGATGTACCATCGCACTTTCCGCACAAAAAAAAAATCCCGCACTACCCTCGTTGGTGCAGCACACGCGCTCCCAACCTGTTGATTCCGAAAAGTGCGTATACGCTACAAACTCCCACGACTCGATGCGAAACGAGAATGACAACAAGACGGCCGAAGCGGCTTCGAGAGATCTCCCAAACTTTTCCCGCGACGTTGCCGCATCTATCGGAACAGTCGCGCAACTGGGGAGAAACGCCGGCAACGCCGCGCTTTGTAGTGACCTGGGTTCGAACAGGTATGAAGTGCATTCTCGCGTGTTGTTAACAACAGGACGAATTTATTTCAGCGGTGGAAAAAAAAAGGAGCAGATTGAAAGGAAGGCGGTCGAACGAGCGCGTTTTGCGCGCGGTTTCAGTTGGATTCGTTGAATGTTCCATTGGACTGCTGGACTTGTGTGTTTACGTAACACAAGGAGTTCAATTGGAAGAGAGGAATCCTCGAATGAAAAGGGGATTATTTGAATTCCGGAGATTGTAGTAGATGCTTTAATGTTCCCTTAATGTGAAATATCATTTTCCTGCTACAAAGCTTCCCCAAAGCTTATTTGTATGAGTTTTGATAAACGATGCAGATTTACTGAACAAATTTTTATTAAAATTAAAATAGTGCTTTATTAAAAATTAACTCAGTGAGGCACAATACGCATTTTTATTCATCACATCGTCGGTAAACTATTTGTCACGAACCAACAAAGCAAAAATTCTTAACGAAATAAATAAACGATATCTTAATTAACAATTGTAATCAGCGCTTTCCTAAAAATCGATTTGTTCCTTAGGCTTTTTCACGAACAAGTAAAGCTCAGCTTACGGCTTCCGTAAAGTAATGTAAAAAAATCTAGTAAAGCTGGCCTATGTAATTAACGCCGATAACACGACTAGGCTTTCGTTATCCGTTTGATTGTGATATTGTTTGAGTTTATTTTACGTTATACAAATAATGATAAAAAATTCAAACAGTCGCAGATTTATTAGCTATTAAAGCGCAATCTTTCCAGAAATGCAACTCCCGATTCATCGATAAATTAGCAGGAAAGATTGTACTATAATATCACAAAATTCCCCGACTTTAATAGAGATATTTCGGTTGATATAACAAGTACAAATGAATTATATATTCGTCTAAACTAAAGATATGTGCTTATTCGGATACGAGCGGCAGTGGCCTAAAATAATAAAACACTCTGTATTGAAATTCATTACAAAAACTCCATTCCATAAAATTTTGTATTTTTTGGTACGCAAACATGGGTTAAAATAGAGCTCTCCAATCCGAGTTTTGAAACTTTCAACGAGCTATAAGGAACTTCCTAATCCATTTATTTTTAAATTTCGTGATGAAGTTATTGGTGAAATACAATTGTATTATCGTGTGAAAGAGTTTCATAGTAGAGATTAAACAGCATAATTATAATTTCCGAACCCTGTACTTCTCCTTATAGTCTGGCACATTATCAAATTCAAATTATTGAAATTTGACCCATGTTTCAATATCGTTTAATTTACAAATCTACGCGAATATTGCGCTAAAAAACCGCGTATATGATAAGAATAAGCGCCTACATCAGGATTCGCATAGATCGGTAAATTTCGTATGAAAATACATCTACTCAACTGGCATTAAACATTTCAAATTTCCCCGTCAACATTTACAGATAAAAATATGTTTTATAACGTAGTAGATATGTACAAATCGGTCCGTCAAAAATATTTGCCGGAACGGGTTACAACTGAAAAATCGGGCGATATAACAAGACAGCCAATTATCCCAAAGAAATTTTCATCGTCAGTCACATAAATTTCAATACAGCTCAGCTCTATCAACCGGCAGGGGGTTTCGTTTTTTTTTAACACACCACCGCCGATATGGGATTCTCCGTGATGTGGATAATATTGCCGGGCCACTGGCCGCTCTGCATCATTTTCGCTTTGAGCAATTCTTCGAACGAAGCCTTACGGAACATGGCCATTTTGGTTGGAGATAGCGGAGCGACTGAAAAAGAACCACAGAAAAATATCTGGTTAATGTTTACAACTATTAAAAGATTTTTTTAGTAATTTTTAATCGGGTTAAGTCGAAAGGACTATGCCGGTTCTGGACCACTTTTCATGCCCCCCAGCATATGATAAGTAATAAATTGTTTCGAAAATTAAGAGATTCAAATACAGTTCAACATATATGCAGGAAAGTATAACAAATCATGCGGAAAGTATTACCTTTTGAATAGATATTTTTAAATTGTAGATACTATTACAAACCAAAAATTCAATAACCTCAGTAATAAATTAAATAATTTATATTGTTGCATTTTAAGCCTTCTAACTAAACTATTGTATACTAAAAATGTACAGCAAACCATTCACAACGTGCCAGTTGAATTACTTTTGCATGCCGATTCGGTGTTTGATGTGAGTGATTAAATTAAATTATCGGATTTTTTATGTAAAATTCGTGTGGTTGTGTAAATCAAACTTCCCATGAAGGAAGAAACAAGTAGAATAAATTCGAGTCCGCTCTTAAAGATCCACAAAACTTGGACGAAATGAGAGAGGAATCAATTGTATTTGTAAGTAAATTTTGTGTCTGTATAATCAAAAATGCAATTATTTTACTCGACACTTAACCAGATATATCGCAGGAACGTTCGCAATAACAAAACAAATCATGAAACAATTCTTATAATCGCAACGTTACCAAACTCAATACCCGGTTAAAATCATCTATGTTAAGTTCACCATTCTCGATCCTAATCCAATAAATCAAGTAATACAAATTAAGTAAATTTCGAACTCGTAACTACACTTACATGGGAAGAACAACTTGTTTTGGCCTTACTAAATTTTAGAGGCCGTCATTTTATTAGGATTTACCTTCGACTGATAAACAGCTAGACCGGCGTCGCCCGACTTGTACGGCTAAAACAACACGACACAGATCTTGATATTGACTACATCTGCCAAAACTAAGGAGAATCATGCCCCAACGTTTGTTAACCGATACGCCTATCAAGCGCGCTTCATGAGCAAATTACAGCAAAAATTGATTCAGCAATCCTTTTAGAGAATTGTGGTTGAAAAAATGATGCAATAGGTGCATACAAAGGCAAACTAATCTCAATAGTATACTGTCATTTTATTATTGCCTAAACTAATTTAACATCATATATCACGAAAAATTAACTACTAAACTAACTTTATTGTCGAATTTTCAATAAATAAATGAACGATACATATAAAAAAAAAAACTTGTCGAAATGAAATATCTTCCAATATAAATGTTTATTGTAGGCAATTACAATCTAGCAATGAATTCGACTAGATTTTAATTGATCCGTCATTGGGAGTACATATTGATCGGTTCAGATTCAACGGAAATATCACATATAGGTTAACAAGTTATGGGGCGATGATGCAAATGTATTGCTGAAAAATAAAAATAATAAAATTATAAATATGGTAAATGTGGAACGGGTAATATGCGCATGTGCAACCGTGATAATTGTAAAGCTTTCAAAAGTAACAGGGAAACTGTTTCGGGAAATTTTCTTGCAAATTTATCGGATGAAAATTGTTAGTAAACGGTTATAAGCGAAATGGAGTGCGTTTGCGAGTTTGGTAGTAAAAGCAAACAATGTTTTAACTTTAATGTACATGTTTATTTAAAGAATATATTTTTATCAATACTATCTACAATAAAGTACATATAACACAACAAATTTTCTGTTTAGCATGGTAAAAATTAAACTCGCCTCCTGCAAGCATGGCCACTTAGAGACAAAACAAATTAACGAAGATAATGAAAAAAGCTAATAAATTTATCTTCATTTACCATCCAGTTACCGTGCTTGCAAGAAACTAATGTTAGTAATAAGTAGTAAACATTTGTGCTCAACAGAGAAACAGTCTTTTCTAATCTCTATTATCGTTAATAAACTGCATTTTCGTAAATATACGTAAAGCGCGTTGACACATTAGAAATTCGTTCTATACGCCCGCATCACTAAAGGAACAATAAAATTTCTACTTCTCGATTAAATCGCGAATATTATAGATTCCTTCGTTACAGCAGGTGAATTAGAACAGGCAGTGAACGATACCAAAGCATTGTCACATAAAATTGCAAGAATGTTTCGACGAATACTAAACTGGAAGAAGATTCGAATTCTTTTTATTGAATCGACCTGTAATCATCAAGAATTACAGACGTTCGGTTAAACTAGAAAAATATTAAGTGAGCTGTTTATTTACAAATAAACGTTAGGTATGATTTCGTCGATAAAATAGGTAAAAATTTAATCGTTATCGATTTATCAGCACTCAATATTTTTCTAGTACGGGTTCGATTCTGGGACACAGTTTCACTGAACTCGCTGATTGTGGTGTCGAACGAGAAAAACATAATCGAATGGATAAATTAGCGGGTAATATAATCGATGGATGCGAAACAAATTTATATTATTTACCAATACATACCATTCGCGCATATCCAACCAACGCAACGCAAACATTGTAAAAATAAAAAATAACTCAGTGTATGATTTGTGTTTCGTTTCTACTATAATTTTGTATTGTTATTGGAAGATGAGCCGTCGAACAACGAGCGGCTTTACATTATTATTCCATTTGAGAAACGATTATTAAGAAATTATTAGAAATGTTAGAAGATTTAAGGTGATTTCTCAAAAGGAAGTTCGATGTGTTATATAAAAAAATTTGTCATCTAAATTCGCAAAGCGGTGTGATGAGCGTGTAAATAAATTCAGTGGCAATTAGAAAAGCCTTATTCGAGTTATACCGGTATCGTTATTTTTTCTTTCAAAAAATACAAATAAAAAAACATCTCTTAACAAATACTTATTCGTTAGTTATGTCTAGATTACTAGATACACTTTCGAGGAATGTAACAACGCAACAATTAGTATTAACGTTTCGCATTTATTCGTTCATTACGAATCACTTACCGTATCCTTCGCCTTGCAGGAATAATCTGAATGCCTCGCTAACTTTACCCGGCTGTTCTTCCAACACCATACCGCCGTCTGATATCTGAAAAAAACCCAGTAAAATTATCAATAAAACAGCTCCAGTAGTTCTAATAGATCCAGCAGATCTGATTGAAAGTAAACTACGATCTTACTTTCATCCAAGAGGAGTTAGTGGGATCGAGCCGCCCGTTGAATGTGACCGTGTCCTCCATGTGGGGGCTCATGGAGCCGGTGATGTTGATCACAGGCATCGATAGCGTCGAGTTTTTCTTCTTGGTCGGGTCCATTTCCCTGTGAATGTTCAAATCCGTTCGCCTGACGTAGCTATCGATAAACAGCGCCAGATTGGTGGGATTGACGTTGCGCTCGAAGTAGCTCTTGTACACCTGCACCAGGTCGTGATTCCGCTCTTCGGTTTGCTGGAAACGCGGCAACGTTAGCACGAGCAATTGCCGTCGTAAAGGAGCCTTACTCTTCCGAAATGGTGCCACATGAGGTAGTCCAGCACGCCTTGCGTCATCCCCTTGGAGCGCAGATGTCTGGCGTTGAGTTTCTGGTAGCCCCATTCGATCCAGCCGGCCTGCGTGCTGACGCAGTTCACCAGGCACAGCGCCGACACCCGCTCGGGGTGGTTGAGCGCGAACCGGCAGAGGATGTTGGCGCCGGCGCCGACGCCGAAGCCGATGAATTGCTTCAGCCCGAAGTGGGTCATCACGTAGGTGAGCTGGTTGGCCAGTTCGTCCATCGTCGGATAAAGATAGCTGTGGGAATATTGAAATAATTAGATACTTCGTGGTGTTTGTTTATAGTGGAGTTGGTGCTTACTCTTCGGAGAGAGTTTGGGCGCCTTCTTCTTGGCCTGGAGCGTTGATGTGGTACACGCAGAAATTCTCCAGCAATGCTCTCATATCGATGTAGTTGAAGAAAGCTTGGAAATTGGATACGTCTAAAATAAAAACCCGAATGTTACGCCACTTTACTAATGTTATCTGCAGGAAATTGATAAACTTGCGTATACACAAACACCGAATGTATTTTTAGATACTTACAGTTGAGACCCAAATCGTGGTAGGTTAGAATAGCCGGTTTCTTTCTGGATCCTTGCACGGCGACAACGATGTTGCCGCGATCCGTTTCCACCGGTTCCTCCATCACCGAAGAATCCTCCCTGGAGAGGGACCGAGCCGTGGGGAATTGCAGCTGGATGTTCTTCAATTCGATATCGTCCATGCTGTCAGAAGGCATAGTACTAAAACAGGCCGTGAAAATTTTCCTCAATTTCATACTGTCTATATAAATTTCAGTACGGCCCAAATTATAATGGCTATAACGAGTATTTTGGCGATCATTATACAACTATCAGTCAGTTGTGACAGTTTCTGATTAACATTTAAACGGGACAGTCCAACAATATAGGGGTTGGGCGAATTTCGGGTGGTCTTACAAATCGAAAAATCGAACGTTAAAAAAATTATAATTAGGTAACTAAACATGTTATAAAAATTCAAATTCAAACCATTCAGCTAAACTAATTCAAAACAAATTCAAAACGATTCAAGCTGTTGTGTTCCAGTGTTCCTTACCCCAAGAGGGCTGCCTCTTCAGCTAATCCGGAAGAAGGCATTTTTCTGTTTGTGTTAGTGTTAGCGCTATCAGTCCTAAAACAAAAATATAAAACATAGTACTTCTACTATTGGGGTAGGTACGGGCAAAAATAATATACAATACAAAACTACAGATGAAATTGTTAGTACCTACTTATAACTAATATCTAGATACATACGATATACGATAGCTTCTGTAAGAATGTTATTTAATTGCAACTAATGTAAGTTCAAATTTTAATAACCCCTGAAAAATTATTTACAATTAGTAATATAATTAGTAATTAAGTCGATTGTGATGAATAATTTGATCGCTTTGTAAGTGAGTTATGCGATAGGGAAAATTATTTTGCAAACACATCTGGAATGAGTAAACTAATAAACTCCAATTAATCGTCGAACTATATATACAGGGAGTGTCGCAAAAGTTCTTTAGCAATTGATGTTCGTTGAATTTATCGATTATTTATTAAACAAAGCGCACGAATTGAAGCGTAAATAAAAATATTTTCGCGGTTTTGTAACTGGAATTGCGCCAATGTACGGTCAATACACTATTCTTTCATTCCGCTTAACGTAGAAAATTACAGTTTCCAGGGGCTATTGCATTTGAAATTACGCCGTTCCATTTACATATAGATTAATATCGCCGACATTACAACCTGGCTGACCCGTAAATGGGGTGGATCGATTCGCGTTTTAGACCCTTTTCTTCTAAAACTAGTCCGTTTCGATCGATTTTTTCGGCGTAAATCCGAAAAATCCTTCGTTAGAGACATTAACAATTCAAAAGAAAAGCGCCGAGCGAGTTCGATTATAAGCTGTGTATCGTTATGCATGCGACTTACCTTGACTATTCCGGCGAATTTTAGCGACTAAAATGAATTTTATTTCATCATGATTGCGATTAATGCGAAGACAAATGGAAATTCAAATGGTTCGTTTAATTGTAAGCTTATTGTTTATGTAAACAAATTGATTTGCTGATGTGTTGGCCTTCAAAACTTCGTTACTAGGTTTTTATAGTCTTTGCCCTTATAAAAAAGAGTAATTTTCTGACACAAAGGATACAACAAGGACTAACTTATTCATAGTTTCTTTTAGTTGTTAAATGTACCTACTTATTTTAGAGCAATATTTTTAAACTACCATTAAATATGTATAAATAAACAGATCTTTTATTTAGTTTCTAAATTAACATTGAATGCTTGGTCAGGGGCGATTAGTGTTCTAAAACTAATTGACACACAATTGTAATTAAATTAAGAGCGTACGTGTAATTAAATGAGTTAAAATTAGGCATTAATAAAAAATCGATATTTGTTTTTGTGGGTCCTTGACGAAGGTCCTTGTTAGCGTGCAGTTAACGTTCGATATTTTATTAATTTTCATGCAAACTTTTACTTAAATATAGACGTTTCACTAACTCTTTATCGACTCGATTATGGGATGTTATTAATAGACGAGATATTTTAATATCATAAAACCGAACAAAAGTTTTATAGCTAATAAGATTATTTCTACGAGGAATCGGGTGTTATATTTGTGTACAGTTAAGTAAGGTAATAGTATCTAGTAGGTTAATTAAGTTTTGATATACAGTGTCAATGTACGGTTTATTTGTTTATAAAATTGTTGTTTCTGCATAATAGAAATTGAAGGTGGTGTTGATGAATTTTAGTGTAAGTTGAAAGCTCCATGATGATCTCTAGCAAACTTATTCAAAAGCTTACTGATGCAAGAATGATAAAAACCCACTCCAAAGTGCGCAAAACTATATTACAATGAAAGGCCCACACCGAAAGGACAAAGGAAAACTCGAAGAAAAGCTCCATTACCTGCTGAAATCGGTTACTTTTCCGTCTCCCGTGGTCGGATCGGCCAGCAGTCTCTCGGATCCGGCTCGTGGAGGCGGCGCCCTCGTTCCCGACACAAAGCTAAAAGCTTTCTTGAACCCGTCCAGGAGGCCGGCGCCGGCGGTGGCCGGCGGGGGGCCGGCCGGCGCGACCGTGGTGGACCGGTAAACGGCGTTAGAACCGGTCAGGGAGCGGTAAGTGCCCTGCAGGCTGCCGATGGGCATTTTCCGCCGCCCTTCGGGCTGGGGTGACCATCAAACATCCAAACATCAAAAATGGCATTCGACATGTATCGACGGATCAATTTTTAATTTACGACAAGGTTGGTTAAAAATTGATGCGTTTTTTTAACATAAATTAAACTGCCTTGTGAGTGAGTGTAGATCGGATTTTGGTTTTGGTTGTTTCTATTTTATTGCTTATCAAGATTAAAAGCAGCTGCTCCCTGGGGTGCCATTTTATGTTTGCATAATATATGCACGCTATTTGTATATAGGATAATTAAAAATTCAAGTTGTAGTTTTACTATAAAAAAATATGGATGTGTTGTAATTATACTTTAATGATGCATATACCTGTTATAAATTATAGAACACAATTTCGTTGGAATAAAAAATTATTTTCATCAAAAATCGATTCATTATATTAATTGTATGTTAGATATTTCTTAATTAAACTACAAACTTTTTGTTCTTCTATATTTCTAACCACTATTTAATTTTTTTTCTAGTGTAATTATATATTTCGAATTAGTTTTTCTTGTTTCTCTTCGATTGTATAATCATTCCTTGGTAACTACTAGAAAAAAAGTACTACAAGAAATAAGAACTATTTCGTAGTTAAATTTCTGAAATAATTAGTTACACTGGAAAAACAGTTTTGTTAATTTCGCGGCAAGTTTTACAAACTCACTAAAAACTATCTTGGGCTATTCAGCCATCTTTTTAGCTCGTTAATTTCTTTAATAAATTAATCTGTTTAATTTTATGTATGAATCATTTAATAGGCTACTTATTTATTCGGAAACACCATACCCTATAATCACCAAATGTAGTGGATAAATTATTCACTACATTAAATAATTTATAGTTAGATTAGATTCGTGGGTAAAAAATAATTGTGTTCTAGGCTACCCAAGGACCAACTTCAATTAAATAACAGATAAAATTCGAAACCTCTTATTATATAATAATCTTAAGAGCAATTGGTTCTAATCTATTTACAAAATCGGATCTACTCAAGGCGAATAAAATAAAAAAAAACGGTGCACATTAAAGCAAAAGCACAAAATGCAAACAACAAACTCTTCAGATCATGCTCTCACTTTGAATGACGAATTAACGCAAAAAATCTCATATACGTACGTGTTATTTACGGTTCGAGGAGATCAGATCCAACATTACCTTTCGGGACACTTCCGATATATCGATTTTTTAACTAGCAACGAAGAGAAAAAAAATGACAACACCCTAAACTATCATGCGGCAAATCGCGCTGCTCTGAGCTATCGATCTGCACGCGAATCAGTGCACTTACCTTGCTCTGATCGACGGTATTTAACAACAATAACCGACTTATTGCAAACACCACCGAGTTTGACGAGTTGCGATAGCACGACGTCCGCTCGAATAGTGTTGTAATGTATTAATGTAATTCCCGAACGGGCCGCATTGGTCGCTGAAAGGCCACGTGACCCGGAATTGATTCCGAACCAGTTTCGATTCCTTCGGGACTTTCGTCGGAACCGCTTCTCCTGGCAGGCACTTTGCTGATTTTTTTTGTCAACTGGACGTTCACTCGGAGATAGAGAGGAGTCACTGGCGATTTCGGTTGGGCGATTCTCGGTAAATGGGGAATTTGTGTTGGTGGTTTTATTGATTCCTGCGGAACCATTTTGAATTCGGCGCTATCTACCGGTCGCGATGGGAACCGTTTGCTGGTTTTGCGCAGTTGCCTGCATTGGTGGATTGGTAGTATTGGAACTTGGGAATTAGATGGGTGGATTTTTGGAAATTGACATGGAGTTTCAACGATTTGGAAGTTTACTGTTAAAAGTGGATTTGAAAGTTTTTAGTCTTTTAGTTTCCTAATCTTCTAGTATTTTATTCAATCTTGCAATCAATCTCTCATTCAGTCTTTCATTTAATCTTTCATTCAAACTTTAATTCAATCTTTCATTCAATTTTTTGGTTCAATATTTTAATCAATCGTTCATTCAATCTTTCATTCGATCTTTCATTCAAGCTTTTATTCAATTTTTGGTTCAATATTTTAATCAATCGTTCATTCGATCTTTCATTCAAGCTTTCATTCATTCTTTCATTTAATATTTCATTCAACCTTTCAATCAAGCTTTCATTCGGCCTAACAAATATGGTAAACCTTAATTATACATCAATATATAAAAAAATACATTGTATGGATAGGTAATAATAACTTACCTCTATTATACAACATTGTAAAAATAAAAATTCAATATCTACTCATTTGCAAATAAATAAATAACAATAAATAACTGCATAAAACTAAAATATTTTTGTAATGCGATTTTCACTTACCATTTACCGAAGCAAGCCTTTACATCCGAGCACTAGATGGTCTCGAATCGAACTAATTCATTTGGTAAAATTGTGATAGGTACACAAAGTAACCAATAATCGATAAACAATTAGAAGAAAAACGTCTGTTATTTTGTTTTCGTCAAGGAATGCTTCCTGGAACCGATTCATTAGCGATAACCGAAGGATTTGCGGTATCGAATCTTCGATAAAACCTATTGGCATTCGATTTATTGATTCTTTGTATGATCGAATCGAAATTCGATTTTTTAAGATTCGCCACAAAAGGTTTCGGTTTGACAGAGACATCATCAGTTGAACCCGGAAGTAGTTTTCTATTAATCGATAAATTATTATAAACAATTAGTTTGTATTGTTTATTCGACTAATGAAAATTATTATTAGCAAGGTCTACTAAGTAAGTAGATTCACGTGTATCTGATTGTTTGAATTTGAATGTTAAAAATACGTTCTTATCAATGTAATATTGAATTATATTAATGATTCAATAGAAACCGTGCAATTATTTTGATCCATGAATGCCAAAATAATCCTCCATAAACGCTAAAATCCTCCTGTATTAGGTATTTAATTTTATCCGTAATCATCAATCAATACAAACATATTAATTTTATACATCCTATGAAATTGTATTTAATTCACAGAATTATTTTCATTAACTATTAACGTATAGTTTTCAACTTTTTACTATAATTACACCCATTAGATTTGTACTCGTAATTAAAAAAATCACAATAATTTCAAAAACATCGCTTCAACCGAGTAATTAATAGTGCTCATTATGCTGTGTGTATTTAGATCTTGGGTTTTTATGAACATTTATAAATAAATTTTCGCGTGCTCCTTTACATTACCGAATATCCCTTTAGGTGCATGTAAACTGGGAACCTTGATCCAGTAAGGTTATTAAAAACCTGGTGAATCAAATGTATTAATTCAGTTCGAAGAAGGCGAGTGATCGTTGAATAACGTCTCGATGATCCTTGACGAGGTAAATCTAAAAATACGGTTATTTAATTGTCGTTATAAGGTTGTGGAAAAATGATAGATTATTCTTCGGTGTGACAATATCCCGCTTTCTTCTGTATATTTCTATTGCCTGCTAATTTACTGCTTTCATTAGTTTCATCTATTTATTCATCAACTGTTAAATTCAACAATTTTATGTTGTATTTTTCAATAACTCCCAATTAGCCAAATTTAAAAATATCGCAAATCGATAACAAACCCTTTATTTTCCTCATAATTGAAATATTTTTAGGAAGATTTTTTTTGTTTTCGAATATCCACGTGGTAAAAAAACCGATAATTGCACCTGAGCAATTTCCTTGTTTTTGCGTAAAAACCGTCTAAAAAAATTTGATCGCCTATTTAGCAACCAGTTAAAAGGCCATTTAAAAAGTATTCACTTTTCAAATTGGTGTTGTGATAAAAATAATTATTTAAACGCCAATCCTGATGGTCGAGCGGCAGGAGTATCTACCACTCGTTCGATTCAACCTGACTGAAGTGTTAATACTAATAATTCCATAATATTTCTCAAGACTGCAAGGATAATGAAGGTAAGTGCATGACGGGTTGAAAACGCGTGGTAACTTTAATTTTTTTGTGCAGATTATTCCATTTCTCCTGTTCATTATTTTGGCCGCGTTTGCTCCAAAAACCGAGGGAAATTTGTACCAATTAGCAGGAGATGTTGTAAGTTTTCTAATAGAAATCACTAGGATTCAACCGTATTTACTGTCTTTATATCCTGCCAAAAATAGACCAAGTAAGTAATACATAATTGATTTTAGTTCTATAAGGGCTGTTTTTATTGTTAAGGGGTAGGTACTCGTTATACACATTTTTCCCTGTATATATTATATTCGTAAGTGTTAATAAGAAATAATACTTAATAAACTTAATTATAGTGTATTGTTAAAAACCATTACCTATATTAATTCGAACGTTTACTTAAGATAACCAAATGACAGTTGTTTCATAGAATTCATTTGACTGTTAAGTGCAATATTTACTATAATAAATTGGTGTATTATATTTTCGTGTATTTATCTATTTAGAGTGTTTTTATCTACAAAAGCATTTTGTTTGGAATTAAAAAACTGTCCAAATTACATCAATTAAGTGTAAATATATCAGTATTAAGTATAAATATATATAATTATTATTTACGTACTGCAAGAAGGTACTAATTATCAAATACAGAAAGTAACAATTATTGCATTTTTTAATCGATGAATAATTTGTACTTAGTTATTACGAATAAAATGTATCTAAATATCTAGTTTGAAATTTTGAACACACATTTATCTATATTCCAAAGTTTATAAGTTCCATCTTTCACTCGTTTCAAAGCCTTTTGTTACCCCGAAATATTCGCCATTTCCGTTCCAGAGGAAGAGCACTTCGATTTCATCATCATCGGCTCGGGCCCATCCGGATCGGCCCTGGCCAACCGACTGACCGAAAACCCCAACGTAAAAGTCCTGTTGCTCGAAAGCGGAGAAGAACCCAGCCTCATCGTCGACATTCCCATAGTAGCCGGAGCGCTGGAATTCACCTCCTACAACTACAACTACAAATCCCAACGCCAGCCGAACTTCTGCACAGGTACGATAAACCAGCATCTTCCCGGTTATCGTTCTTATTCCAAACGAATTTCGCGAAAAAGGTTGCCCGAACGGAGTCCTGCAATGGCCCCACGGCAACGTCCTGGGCGGCAGCTCGGTCATCAACTACATGATCTACGTCAGAGGCAACCCGGCCGACTACGATAAGTGGGCGGCGCTGGGCAACCCCGGCTGGTCCTACGAAGACATCCTGCCGTACTTCAAGAAGCTGGAGGACTCTCGCGTCAGCCGCAGCGACGAGGCCTACAGAGGCAAAGGGGGCAACGTGGCGGTGAGCGACGTCCCGTGGAGGAGCGGCATCGTGGACGTCTACGTGAACGCTTGCACGGAGGCCGGGCACGAGTACGTGGACTACAACGGCAGGAGGCAGCTGGGGGTGTCTTATATACAGTCGACGACGAGGAACGGCGCCCGATGGCACGCCGAGAAGGCCTATCTGCGGCAGGCGCGCTCCCGCAAGAACCTGAAGATCCAGGTCAAGTCGAGGGCGACCAAGATCTTGATCGATCCCAGGACGAAGACGGCGTACGGCGTGGAGTATTACTACGAGAAGAAGAGGCACGTGGTGTACGCCAAGAAAGAGGTGATTTCCTCGGCTGGGTCGTTGAATTCGCCGCAGTTGCTCATGTTGTCTGGTGTTGGACCTAAAGACCACTTGGAGGAATTGGGTAAAGTTTTCTCTTTTCGTCCAAACTGTTATAAAATTTCGGCTTTGCTTACTTTCAGGGATACCGGTGATTCAAGACTTGCCGGTAGGTAAGAAGATGTACGATCACGCCACGTTCCCTTTAATAATGTTTCAAGTGGATAAACCTCTAGTCATAAACGCAGTAACGGCTGCTTTGAATCCTTTCAATTACATCGGTGTTCTGTTTGGAAAAGGATTGTTTACCTCGATCGGTATGTTATTGGATATTTGTACTTGAATGCGATTTTGAATCGAGTACTCTAGGCGGTGTGGAAGCAATTACTTACGTAAAAACCAACATTTCCACCGATCCGGATCCTCTCTATCCAGACGTGGAGTTGCTGATGGTAGGCGGCGCGTTAAACACCGATTTCGGCATAATTTTCCGAAAAATATTCAACGTAAAACCGGAAATTTACAACAAAATCTTCCTGCCGCTGTTCACCAAATACGTATACATGGTAATCTCTTCATTACTCCATCGCTAAGAGCGTCCTCATTCGCTCGTTCGTTTCGAAAGGTCACGCCGGTGGTATTGCATCCGAAATCCTTCGGCTGGATCAAGCTCAACTCTTCGAATCCTTGGGACGCTCCGTTGTTCTACCCTAACTACTTCTCCGATCCCGAAGATCACGACGTCAAAACCTTCATCGCCGCCTTCAGGGAACTGGAAAGGATCAACTCGATGCCTTCCATGCAGAAAATCGGATCGAGAATCGTTAGCATACCAGTACCAGGTATTTCAATCATGTTTTTACTCCAAGCTCTAAAGCCCTAAGGTAAGTAGGTTCATTATAAATTCCATCCATCGGAGAAGCAACCTTCTAACAACAGAACCTGCAGGTATTTATCGTAGCCGCTATTTTCTTGTGTTTGGTTGTCGTTGGGGGAGATATCCATTTGGTGGGGTTCTTCCAGGTTGCGAATCGCACCGTTTCGACAGCGACGAGTACTGGGCATGCGCGGTGCGCACCGTGATAGGCAGCTATTATCATCAAGTGGCCACCTGTAAGATGGGTCCGGAAGGGGATCCCGAAGCCGTGGTGGACCACAAGCTGCGGGTGCACGGGGTGAAGAAGCTGCGGGTTGTGGATACCAGCGTGATACCCATACCGCCTGCGACGCACAACGTGGGTCCCGCCTATGCTATAGGCGAAAAGGCGGCGGATATCATCAAGAATTGTTACGGGATTTGATTAGTTTATAAGCGAGTTTGTCACGAATAAGATGGTTTGTACAATTAAAGATTGTTTGTGTGGTAAATGTGTAGCTTCATTGGGGATTTGACGGTGGTATAACAAATTAATTTGTTAATGAAAAGCGGTGATGTAGTTCAATTCAATGTTAGAATGATATTCCAAGAACGAAGCAAGTGAATAAAATGGACTTTTTAGGATAGACAAGTCGCTGTTTAAGGATCGAGGACTCACCTCTATCTAATTGTATCAAAATAACGTAGGTTTCGTTTAAATTTTATTGTTCGCTAAATCTTAAAATAAATCGCTGTTTCGATTAAATAATATCCAACATAGCGAAACGTTTTATACAAATTTTTAATTATTAGCCGGTTTTTGCATTTATTTGCATTTTAACGTTATTAGGTGTTGTTGAAAAATAATTGGTTTTAAGTACCTACACTTTTAACAGGTAATTTGGTTAAACCATAAAATAAGGCTAATTGGTGGGTTAATTAAATTCCCAATTAAATTATTTGTTTAACAAAAATATTGGTTGGTGTCTATTCGGGAATTTTATTTCAGCATGTTACTTTTACAAAATAATTTATGTATTTAATAATAATTTTTGATAGAGAGACATTTTTGGTAGTTTTCAACTTTAAAAATGTCAATAATTCACACAATTAAAGCTGGAATTATTTATATTTTAAAGAATAATTGTTCCCATTATGTCAGTTATTCATCAATGGGGCTGATAATAAAGCGTAAAAGTTTCATTAATGTATTGAGTGAATACCTACGCGTTCTGATATTGAATTATAATTTAATTTTTAATCGGGTCATATAATATTTTTGTGCCCGCGGGTATTTAATAAATTCAATTTCTAAATTTGCAATTAAACATATTTCTTCCGTTTAGTAATCACCCAAAATTCAACTCCTCGCAAATCTCGCCGGCGACAGCCACTTATGCTACATTTAATTATCCGGTTCCTTGAGCAACACCTAAATTATTATAAAATTACATAACAATTATTTCACTCAAAATAAAAGTTCAACGAATCGGTGAATACCCAACATCTCAGACATCCACACTAATACCCAACCACACTGCCTATACTTCCCCATATCTCTTCCACGCTTTGCTAAGACCAATCCACCGGCAAGTTAATTCTTAATTAAGAGTACCTAGTGATAATTTTTCGAGATAGGTACCAGTACCTACCGCGGCCTTGGGTGATCCAAATAAAAATAAAAAACCGCGTCTTCGTTGGCTTAGTCTTTGGACGAAAATTGTGCGCTCGCCCGATTACATTATTTAGGTCATTACCGATGAGATAAAATACTAATAAGGTGCTTATAAGTTCTTTTCATGTGGACAATTGGTTCAGTTCGTGAACGATGTATACCCGGCGAACGGTAAGTCGATTATATTTATAATAAATTTTTTATTATTCCCGCGTGTTATGTTGCAGAAATTCGTAATTTTCTTAGCGATCCCTTTGGTTTTGTTAGCTCCAACTTCCTATGGGCAAGTGTACGTGTTGTTAGGAGATTTGATAAACCTCATAATTAATCTAACAAGAATCCAATCGTATGTTTTCCCCTTGTATCCTAACTTTGGATTGGCAGGTGAGTCAATTTTTGGAAAATTCGATTAGTAAAAATAGTCTTGTTTATAGTTATTACAGTTTGGATTTTCCATCAGCTCAATTAAATTTAATTTAAACGCTAATTAGGGAATTGGATAAATTTGATAAAAACAATAAAGAATATTAAACATTCACAAATAACATACGAAGGATGCATTAATGCAAAAATCCTTAAACAGCGAGTTGTTTCATTAAACTAAATTATTAACTTGCTCTTGTACCAATATCCTATTTCAATCTAAAACAAATATATTTATAATATTCTACAGAGTGTTAATCGATTGAAATTTACAGATTCTTCCGATAAATTCGACTTTATAATAGTGGGTTCTGGTCCATCAGGCTCAGTTCTAGCCAACAGGCTAACAGAGAACCCCAACGTGAAGGTTCTTCTACTAGAAAACGGCGAAGAAGCCAGCTGTGTCACGGACATTCCCATAATAGCGGGAGCTCTGGGACCTTCCAAATACAATTATGGCTACAGGACGGTCGTGCAGCCGGGATTTTGCTGGGGTTGCATCGACAACAACATCGCCTGGGAGCACGGCAACGCCCTAGGAGGCAGCACCATCATCAACTACATGCTCTACGTGAGAGGCAATCGCAGGGATTACGATAGATGGGCAGGCATGGGCAATCCGGGCTGGTCCTACAAGGACCTGTTGCCTTATTTCATCAAAATGGAAGACACCCACGTGGCTAGAGCGGAGAATAATTTAAGAGGCAAAGGTGGATACGTGACTGTAACCGACGTGCACTGGAACACGAAAGTCAGAGACTTGTACGTGAACGCCTGCCAGGAATTAGGCTATAAATACCTGGATTATAATGGATACGAGCAGCTAGGAGTAAGTTATTATTCAGCAGGAGTAAATGGAGCGTGTCGAGCTTTGTGTATTGCAGGTTTCCAATATGCAAGCGACGACTAGAAGGGGTTTGCGCTGCAGCGCGGAAAAGGCCTATCTGAGGCCGGTGCGTCGCCGGTCCAATCTCAAGATACAAACGAGATCAAAAGTCGGGAGGATCCTGATTAACCCCGATACGAAAACGGCGGTCGGCGTGGAATATTTCTACGACGGCAAAAAACACAAAGTTTACGCTACGAAAGAAGTGGTGTCATCGGCAGGAGCGCTAAATTCCCCGCAGGTGTTGATGCTTTCCGGAATCGGCCCCAGGGAGCAATTAGCACCTTTAGGTAGGTAATTAGTATTTATAGAAACTCGCGTAATTTCATTGAATTCCAGGTATACCGGTTATTAAAGATTTACCTGTCGGTAAGAAAATGTACGATCACGCCACTTTTCCTGGCATCATTTACACGTTGAACGAAAGCGTGGCCATAAATACTTTGCAACAAATCCTCGATCCTGCGAATATTTTAGGGTTTCCGCTGGGCAACGGGATATTCACATCACCCGGTACACATATATTTTATTAAATAATTACCAAGCACTGATGGCGCAATTTTCAGGCGGCGTCGAAGCCGTCACCTACGTTAAAGTCAACGTATCCGACGATCCCGATCCTCTGTATCCCGATATAGAATTGCTGATGGTGGGTGGTTACATGGGCTCCGATTTCGGGCTGGTCTTCAGGAAGATGTTCAACATCCCCGCGTCTCTATTCAACGCTCTCTACCTGCCGCTGATAGGGAAAAACGTGTACCAAGTACGCTCCACCGAACTCCTCCGCTATTTTGCTCAGCCTTCCGTTTCAGGTGACTCCTGTTCTGCTGCACCCCAAGTCCTTCGGCTCGATCCAGATAAACTCCTCGTCGCCGTTCGATCCTCCGCTGTTCTACGCCAATTACTTCTCCGATCCGCGCGACATTAAAATCTTCATCGCCGGCATCAGGGAGTTCCAGAGGATAAACAAAGCGCCGAGCTTGCAACGAGTCGGCGCTACTCTAGTATCCACGCCTATTCCAGGTAACGAATCGTATAAATCCATCGGTTGTTTACAAGGAGTTGGTTTCCAGGATGCGAGCACGAGACCTTCGACAGCGACGCTTACTGGGAGTGCGCCTTAAGGACGATCATAGGGAGTTACTACCATCAAACGGCCACGTGCAAGATGGGCCCGCCTGGCGATGCGGAAGCCGTGGTGGATCATGAATTGCGGGTGTACGGGATCAAGAAGCTTCGAGTGGTGGACACCAGCGTGATTCCATTGCCGCCTTCTTCGCACAACATGGCGCCGGCGTACGTGATAGGAGAGAAAGCGGCCGATTTGATAAAGGAAACTTGGAAGTTGTGATGCTAAATATGTGATAATGTGGCTGAATTGAATGTAGGTAGACTAATTATCGTGTTTGGTGATACTTAACTTATCTCAAATGGTACCAAGACTTTCAATCAATTATTACGTATCATTTTTTTTTGTAATTAACTCGTTCTCTTTTTTGACGCACTAGATTTGATTAATGATTATTATAATATAATGCGATCACATGTGTACAAATAATTAACAATTCGGGCAGTTCGGTTTGCAAAATGTTCACTTAATTCTTTCGCCATTGATTCGAGATTCTTGTTACGTAATGATGGAGAAAGCGGGCGATATTATTTTTGGAAAGTACCCAATATACATATTCACGTGTTAAGTTTTCAATTCCTACGGAAGCGATAATTCAATATGGAATTTCTATTGTTAGCAATTGATTATCGATTATTAATTTCTATATTTTATCACTATCATCACTATCAAGTTTTTGGAATTCCAGGATTCAATTAAATATCCTTAGAGTCCCTTATCCTCCTGAAAGACCCTTATAGTCCTTGACAGTTCTTAGAAATCCTTCGCGATCTAAAAATCCTTAAAGGTCCTTAAAGACAACTTTTGCTAATTGCAAAATGTAACGTACCAAAAACTAATAAGACTAATTTAATGATAGGTATCAACATTTTTTCTTTGTTCAAACATTTGATTAACCTTGACAATAGTCTATTGACCTTTGGCAGTTTGTTTTTTGCAACTTGAAAAACTCGATTTTCAAGATTTGTAGAGCATATAACACATATAAGTCTTTTTAGTATTCTTCTGTGCACCATGAAAAACTGTGTTATATTATAAAGTTTTACCCGTTGTAATAATTTTTTCAGGTAGAAGTAAGTATAATTATTAATAATTTAGTTGTTTATTCATACAAGGAAACATTCGTACAAACGTTTATTCATACAATTTTTGCTATCAAAATCGATAAAAAACAATTTCAAGAGATAATAGAAGATGCTGGATAAATTATTGGTTCTCATAAAAATATATTTCCTTATAATTAGCCAATGGATTTAAGCATTAATATACTAATTATAAAAAAATACACTTTTACCAATCGAATAAAATTAAAGATTCCACTTTTTAGAGGTCGAATTAATTGTTACCAGAATTATCACTTTTACTCACAAATTACACCGGTAATTAGTAGAAAAATACCAATTTAATTGGTGTAAATTTTCCCGCAATACGAAGGCAAAGAGAGAATTGAAGAATTATATAATAAACCAGTATTCTTCTTCTTCTGTCGCTGACGTGAAAACATTCAACAGTTCTTCGCCGTAATCCTTATACAGCGAACATGGTTTTAAATAGAGGTCGATAACATTCGGTTTATTTCATATAGTATTAAATTTACTAGTTTAATTTATTTGTAATTATGTTGTAAATAAATAATAAAGTGTAGTTAGTTTCAAACTGGATTAATTAATGCGACTCGGTAAGGAGTAATATCTTTATACATAAATACTGTATAGTTCAAATTATAATAAGTGTATAATAATACAAACGATCAGCTCGTATCATTTTTAAATCGACTTCCCGATATGCACTGGTAATACCTAATTAAATATTTATTCGAATCACGTATTAAATTTTTAAATAAATTCCGATTTATGTATGAAATTTTCATTACATATTTATGATTATATGTTCTATTTTGTAATGTATATAATACTGAATTATGTATGGGGCATCGAATGCGCGGATTTGGATAGATTCCCAAAAGGAAACGAATATATTAACAAACTCGTCCTGACTACCGCACTACCGGTGATTAGATTAGTTCGAGACTGAAATTAGACTTTTATTCTTCCATGAAATCGTACCGAAAATTCAGAAACACCCACTTTGCAGATTCAAAATGACTGGGAATCCAATTTTTACGTTCGTTTGGTGCGGAATTTTTGCCAGTTTACAACCCGTCCAGTCGTTTATAATGCCAAATCGATTAAGTAAGTTATTATAATAGTTTCATTTCTATTTTCTTCAACATATGCACCAGATGCATTATGCAATAAATACACTAAGTACCAAGTATCGCTCATTTTAGATAACTTCAACGATGTAAAAATCAACGAAACCTTCGATTTCATCGTGATCGGCTCGGGCCCATCGGGCTCTGTCATAGCTAACAGACTGTCGGAAGTACCGGAATGGAAGGTACTGCTTATAGAAGCCGGTGGAATCGCCCTGCCCATCGTCGAAGCCCCTGGAATATGCTCAGCTTTCCAGTTCACCAACTACGATTGGGGCTATCGCACCCAACAGCAAGACGGTTTCTGCTCGGGTACTCTCAAAGTACTATCAATTCGATTAATATTAACAACTATGTGTTTTAGGTTGCATAAACAAGACGTTGAAGTACGCTCACGGTAAAGCTTTAGGCGGATCGACTATCATCAATTTTATGATCCACGTGAGAGGCAACAGAAGAGACTACGATAGATGGGAGGCGATGGGAAACCCGGGTTGGTCCTACGAGGAGGTCCTGCCGTATTTCCTGAAATCCGAGGATGCTCATTTGGACAAAAGCGATCCGGGTTACCATAACTCCGGGGGTTATTTGAGCGTTACCGACGTCCCGTACAGGACGAAACTGGTCGATTACGTCGTCCAGGCGGCGCAGGAAGCCGGTTATCCTTACGTGGACTACAACGGAAAGGAGCAAATGGGGGTGAGATTTGAACGCGCGATGAGTTTAATAAATTGTTAGGTTTCTTATGTCCAAGCGCATCTCAGGAACGGGAGGCGGTGCAGCGCCGATAAGGCTTTCCTGCGGCCGGTGATGGACAGGAAGAATCTTAAAATTTTGACCAACAGTCGCGTGGTGAAGATACTCATCGATCCCGTTACTAAAGAAACTTACGGGGTGAAATTCGCAAAGAGGAAAAAGTACTATTACGCTTTCGCGAAGAAGGAAGTGATATCGAGCGCTGGAGGACTCAATTCCCCGCAGCTTCTGATGCTATCCGGCGTGGGACCCAAGGATCATTTGGAAGAATTAGGTGAATTTGTCGGAAAAGTTTGTTGGAACTTAATTTTACAGTTTCCTCTTTTATCGAGATTTTTTTCAGATATTCCCGTTTTGGCTGATTTGCCAGTAGGGAAAAAGATGTACGATCATTCAACGTTTCTGGGAATATTGTTCGAAATCAACCAGAAGATTGTGTTCGTTTACGACGAAGTCATCACGAGTATCAAGGAAATTACCGATTTCGCAGTATTAGGGAAAGGACAAATCACGAGCATCGGTAAGATTCCGTCTTGCGTATTTATTTTGAGAAAATTTTGATTTATTTTTATTGCAGGAGGAGTGGAAGCTTTGTTGTATTTTAAAAGCAACGTTTCCACTGATCCTGATCCTCTTTATCCCGACATGGAGTTCATCGTATTAGGTGCGAGTATATCAGCAGACAACGGAGTTATAATGAGGAAGATGTTTAACATCCCCATCGAAACTTATAACAAAATATGGAAAAAATACGAAACCACCCCAGCGTATCAAGTACAGTTTTATAAACTGCTGTTTATAAATACTAAAGCACCTTTAATATTACAGATTATGCCGATGTTGGTGCACCCTCGGTCCGTAGGATATATAAAATTAAAATCGAAAAATCCATTCCACTGGCCGAAGAGCTACGCCAATTTCTTCTCCGACCCGGAAAATCACGATATCAAAACCTACATAGCCGCCATTAGGGAGATGCAACGGTTGAACAGGACTCCCACCATGCGAAAATTGGGCGCCACTCTAATTACCATTCCGATACCGGGTGAGTAGACACTCAAATCACTTTTCGATCTAGTGCGGTGCAATCAAAGTCAGTCAAACATCAAATTCGAATCGTAACGCACGCCCGCGCGTCGGCTTCCAATTTTTTTCATAATTTTCCCTTTCGATCGATCGAAAACCATGCCGAAGAGAGGCAGGAGCCACTGCGTAGATCCCCCGGATAATGTCACCCCGCCGCCCGTGTATTACCCCACGTACAACGATTACGCCGTTTGTTTACCGCCCACTTGCCAGCCCGGCAGAGGCTGTTGTTACTATTATCCCCCGGGATGCTGCTAGAAGACCCCAGAAATTATGAAAGAAGTTGGAGAGCGCGCTTCATTTTATCTTAAGATGTAACCGAAATAAACTCATATGCAACCGACTGACTTGTAGTTACGTAGGCTAGGAAACTCGATAACTAATCGCGATTAGCTTGGTGATAACGTTGCTATTTACCATAAAAGTCAAACCGTAAAATTCATTCGAAAATCACCCATCACATTTCCAACTTATTTTATCATCCGTTCATCGATATGCCCAAAAGAGGTAGGAGCCATTGCGTGGATCCTCCGGATCAAACCAGGCCGCCTCCTCTGCCCTGCCCGCCCCTGTACAATCAGCTTTGCATCACCTACGCCATACCGCCTGCACCGGCGCCCTGCTTCCCCTGCTACGAACATTTCTGCTACTATTACGGGTGAGGGTGGAAGTTCGCGAGCAGAAGCGATGGGAGTTTCGTAAAGTAGGTTGGAGAATGAGCATTAAGTAAACAAGCATTATTATAAACAGTAACTTTTGTGATATTAAAAATTGCTAAAGTATCGAGTTGTTTTGTTGTTGAAGTAGTTGACGTTGATAAAAAAATTTTGTGACGTTAATACAAAACTTTCATCGAAATTAGTAGTACCGTTTGGAATTTAAAATGCCGAAATTTGAGTATATACCATCATCAGCTCGCATTGAATACATTGTACCACATCCAATCGGTTCACCAAGCATTCTAACGGGAATTTACAGAGCTGATGTTCCATCTTGGAATCAACAATACAACGTAATATACGGTTGTCCAATGTGTTAATTACGATATAATTGCAACTTTAATAAAATGTAACGATGAAATTTAATCATTAGTTTTACTGTTTGTGCTTGTTAGGTATGTAATAAAAAAAGTAGAATTCGCCATTGACAGTAAACAAACTTCAACAACCCCCAACAAAATCTATCAGTAAACTTTCCCTTGATACAAATGCCCAAACGAGGTAGAAGCCACGTCATTGAGGAGCCCAAACCCCGACCAGTAATACCCCAATGTGCACCAGCTCCACCGTGTCCGATGCTATTCCCCAGCGTCATACCGTCTCCAATCCCCGTCAGAAGGATCTACCTGATCCCTCCGCAGGAATACGCCGTCTATTACACCTCGTAGAATGTAAACTCGAAAATAAATCGTAACTGACCAGGAACACTCTTTCATTCCAGGTTGCGAAAGCAAGGAATTCGACTCGGACGAGTACTGGGAGTGCGCCTTGCGCACCGTAATCGGCAGCCTTTGGCACCAGGTCTCCACTTGCAAAATGGGTCCTGCAGAGGACCCGGAAGCGGTCGTGGACCACAGAGGGAAAGTGCACGGTATCACCAAGCTCAGAATCGCCGATACCAGTATAATACCCTTACCGTTGACGGCCCACACGACCGCCCCCGCCTACATGATAGGCGAGAAAATCGCCGATCTCATCAAAGAGGAATGGAAGTTTAAATCTTAAGTAGATTGTTTTGGATAGATCACGGTGGTTTTATTCGGTAAATTAGGGCAAACTTACCCGTCCCAATCGACGAAGGCGAAGTTGACGTGGCCGTAGTCGTGCTTAAAGTACGCCAATCGACCGGATTCCGCCGGTCGGTCGGGATTATCGAGCCCGATGGGAGCGGAGGTCGCATCGCCGGTTGAATTATTCACGGGCGCCTTCCCCGTGGTCCCCGTCCGGTCAATCTTCCTGGCAAAATTATTCAAGTGTGCGCTTCAAGATTGTCGTTTAGCGTATGTTTAATTCGCTTACTGCGGCTTTACTGGCGCGCTGAATTCGTCATGGAGATGTTTATCGGACGCGGGCGAATGTTAATGGAAAAGTCTCGGGGTCGGGTTAAAATTTTACTTAGTTTTAGTGGTGATGTTTTAAAAAGATTCTTGCTTTAAATTTCTAGCGCTCGCTATTATTTTTTATGAAATTTCTGCGGTTTTAAGTGCACATCTACACGTGTCGTATTTATAAGTAATTGCAAATTTGTTTGTTGCGTTATTAGAGAAATTATTGGATAATTCATTTTTATGTTTTATATAGGTATTTTTATAGTTACTTACGGTTGATTTCGATGCTTTTGGTGCACTATCGAACACTCGCTCATGAGGTTTTCGGCACTCAATACCATCATTTTCTTGTGGAAATGCGGCTAATGTATTCACTTCACCAAACGCTATCAACTAATGCTCGACAATTATTTCGAAATTTACATTTTATCTTTTTCCGTAGCGATTACGAACAGCATTGAAAATCCGGAATAAATCGTTTTTTCGAAAAGAATGGTTCGACGTCAGGAGTGGCCATTCAAACGCCACAATAGGTTCGGTAATGTAGGTACCATTGAAATAAAAAAAAAAATCTAGGCGAAATGTTGTAAAGATTTTTATTTTGTTGAATTAATTTACGATTATTTGTTTGACTGAATATTTGATAATTGGGCTATAATCATGATATTAGTGAGATTATAGTAATGGTATAATACTGTTAATTATTTATACGTAGTTAGCGAATATCGGAGCAAATGCCAATTAAGCCTTATTGGGTATAGCGAAATTTTAAATAAATTAAAACATTTTTTGATTATTTTTAACTGATTTACTTTATAAAATTTGATAAACACAAACATATATTAATAACACTACGAATAGATTAGATAAAAGTATTAACATTATCAAAAATGTGGGTTTTTTTATATAGGTACACATCAATTTTCCAAATAAAAATTAGATATATCTACACTCTAATAAATCCATAAAAATGTATATTTGAACTTGTCTCGGGATTAACATCAAATCAAATCTTCCTAATATACTTGCGTAAGTATTTAACAGAAAGAGACACATTTTTAAACGTTCATTAATAATTGAGTATTGTTATTAACATAAAAATAATTAACGCACACTATAAGTTCGATATTTAGGAACAGAAACAAACAAATGGCACAAAGCGGAAGAGCCTCAAAATTTAAGACTAGAATAGTGGCCTGTACACTCCATTTTCTCTCCCAACCTAACACACTTTTATTTTAAATTACAAAACGCATTTTTCGAACGATAATCTCCGTCATTTATTATCGTCCGGAGTTCCCTCACCATCCGGCCCCATTTTCATCGCCGCCTCCAAGACATCCGCGTTCACGTAACCGGTACTTCGCCTGTTCGATAATCGATTTTTCGATCTTCGTTTCCGCTGAGCCTCGCTCCTATCCACGCTGAAAGAAGAATCCAAAAAAATCTAATGTAAACTCGATAAAATACGAAGTATACTCACTTGGAATGGTTCCTAAACTTGACCTCCGGATGATCGGCTGGATTGTAATTTTCGGGAATCCCGTAGTGATTTCTGGCCGTCGTCGTTTTCGAGCTGTCGAATCTGAAAATCGATTTTTAATTCAGCGATCAAATCGTAATTAATTTTATTGCAGCGCTAATGATGGAAAATCGCATTAGAACGCACGAAATTGTAGTCGATAATTCATCGACAAAATCAACTATTGATAGTTATTTTCGGTAAATAAGTGATAAAAGGGGGAACCGAACGGTGCGCGTTGTTATCGCTTCGATTAAAAAAAATTACCTGATTAATGATGATATAAACGGGATAAATGTTCGTCGTTAAATTTATTAACGACAGCAGATAATACAAGGCATATATTATGCAACATTTATGCCTAGAAATTCATAGATCAACCGGTAAAGACGCTATGAGATACAATCTCATTTGGTTCACCATTGTTGCAGGATTAGTAGTGCTTGTTAATTTGTATAGTTGGTAATACATGTTCTAATTATGTTGGTAATACTTGTATTAACATTGCAGTAGATCTAGCGAATTTTTTAGAAGAAGTACTAGAGCTAGTTAAACAGTTGTCCAATAAATAAAAATCAATAGGTGCAAAGTAAGGCGAGTGAGTAGGTCTTTGCATAAATGTAATGTTCCAATACACAGAACTTTCCCGTCAAACTGACAGACTTTTGACAATGCGTTTTTCGTAGCTTCGCACCAACAAATGCCAGTTATTTGCCCAAATGATTTACCACAACCTTTTACTTATACTGCTGCTATACACTAAGTACAACGAAGCCTACATCTACCCGATAGTATGCCGGACGTGCGGCAACAAAATAGACGCGGTGTTCAACGAATTGCAATTGGACGAGAACCGTTACGGCTTGGACACCGTCCGAAGCGTAATGGTGCCCATCAGCAACGGCCTCTGCGGCATCTGGTGGAATTTCCTCGAGGTGTACGAATGCCTGTCGTCCAAGTACTACCAGCAGGAGAAGGCGCCGGCGCCGAAGGAGAGGTCCCTGTTGGACGGCATCGGGACGTGGATGGGCATCGTGAAGGAAGAGGAGCCGCCGGCCAAGTGCAATTACTATTCGATAACCATCGTTAGCGTGACGACGCTGTTTGTGATGTTACTGTTGTACTCCGTGAAGAAGATGATCGACTATTTCAAAGAGGACGACTATCCGTTCGAGGTGAAATTCAACGAGCGTTTCAAGATGTGCAGTTGTAAACTCAACGGATTCGTATACGACGAGTAGATTTAAATTTACGGTGCATTTAGATAGCAATAAATTAATTAAATGGAAGGATCGCAAGCTTACCTTTCCACCTCGGCGTTTCCATTATCCATTTTCTTCTTGTTCGAGGGCTCCTTCAACCGAGATATTTCATCCAACTGAAAACGAACGACGAATAAAACTGACGTGATGAAATTTCATTATCTTTTATCGACGAATTTTACAAATAATAATCATTTACTTTGCCAGATATCGGTATCGAATAGAAACGCTAAATTTCGAAGCGCCGTCTCGTTTTGTTTATATTCTAACCAGATAACTAATTTACGTTGACAATGTTGACTTATGGTTTTAGAGCTGATGTTAATCATGCAAAATTTCTACTCGTTTATAGAGAATCTACGCAAATGAATAATGGATCATAATCATTTAGAACCATATTAGAACAGATGATGATCCATTTGAAACAGTTAAAGACGATTTTAGTACCATTTAGAACTGTTTAAAATCGTTTAAAACAAATTCTGGTCCAAAACCGTTTAGAATAACTCTTTCAGAACTTTTACAAGAATATTTAGAAGATTTCAATCGAGAAATAGACTAATTGCAGAAGCTATCTAAAGCTTCACAGGCGCTTTAATAATCGGCCAGTTGGAGGAGCTCCTGGCCGAGGGTAATTCATTTTCTATTTACAAAATTCATCGGCGGTACTTCCGAATTCCCCGCGTTCGTTCTTTATCGATGGCGATGCGGAAGCTCGCGCGTCCGTTGGCCGGAATTACCGGCGCCTTGGTCGTTATTAAATTTTACATGAAGCCGGGCGATACGCCGTAAATCAGCCGGCTGAATTAGGAATTACCGGCCCACATTTTCACGTACTGAATATTTTTTTAAATTAATGCGGTTGTCCGTGAGATATAAGGGGGATGCTGGAATCGGAGGGGTTCCTCCGATGGTATTAGTTTTTACCGAAAATAATTCGGTGGTTAGAAAGCATCGAGGTACGAGCGGAGCATTCCGCTCTCGAGAATTGTGTAGAAAGTGCGATAAAAAATTCTAATTTTATTATTATCGATGCGCGATGTTAACATTTAAGTAACACAATAGATGTTCCAAACTCTGAGCAACACACTCGAAAATCATAGCGTTTAATCCGTAAAAATTAGTACTTTTACTTTACCTGTTAATATTTATCAGCAGCTCTCTAAATGTTGCGTACTTATTTTCCATGAAACCGTCGCGTGGTCGAAACACATCGCTGAATTTTCCAGACTGCCACTTTCGACTGAGAACAATGCCCAGGAAAACACAAAGGAAAACGTAAAGACTCTCACTTTTCAATAATTCCACAGAAATATAAACGAAGTGAGTCAACTGGCGACATAACGAAAGCATAGTAGGCAGCACATTCCGTATATGAACATGATAATCCCATTGGTGTAACAATCTACTCTTTATATTTAAACTTTAGATTAATACATTTATCTGTATACCCTACTTTTAAATGTGCATCAACAATTTCTCTCAATAGGCACGCATTATTTAATTTTTAATGATCGATAGAAATATTATTCGTGTATGAAATAGTGCTTTTTTTATCTACGCTACTGATACTACTTAGTTTTGTTAAATTCATTCAATGCTGTATGTGCAATGTTAACCATTTACCATTTTAAGGTTGTGGAGCTATTTAAGGTGGCATCATTGGATTCTTCGAATGAGCTTTATTAAATTTATGAGTATAAAACACTCCAGGTTAGACCGTCAACGAATTAAACGCTTTAATAAATCATTAATGGACTTTCCTTCTCATATTGTACTTGCTAGATTAGAGGAAAAGTAATTGCACAGGGGAATTGCAATTGGTGAATGAACGTTTTATTACATGTTTTAGTTTCATTATACGAAATTAGAGTAAGTGGTTCTGCAAAACGTTGAAAATTCCTGCTAAAGTCCTACCGAAGTCATGTCGAAGTTCTGCTAAAGTCCTGCTGTATTCCTGCTGAAATTTTTCCTGCAAAATTTCCTGCTAATTTCCAACTAAGATAATTATTTGGCACTCCCTGTATGTACCTACTCACGTCATCAACAAACATCACGTATAGTAGTGACACGTCGAAGATCTCGTACGACCAACCGTACGCCGACCTGTGGCTCTCCGATTTCGAATCGCAGGAACTCCCAGCAGGACAGACGGAGACCGACGCACCGCGATGACGTAACCCCGCTCCCGACAAGCGAGAGAAAGAGAGAAAGAGATACCGCGACTCGCGAAAGTCCCACGGTCGAGTTTGGGTTTAGTTTAGTTGCGTTTAGTCCGCGGCTCTCTCAGTCAGTTTCGAAACGTGGCCGCCGCAGGAATGATGCTCAAGCGCCAGTTGATCGCCGGTTTGGTAGCCGTCGCGCTCGTCGCGACGGCCCGCTGCGAGGACGATCTCAAAGTCGAGGTGTTGTACAAGCCCGAAATGTGCGAGGTCAAGTCGAAAAGCGGCGATATGTTGACCATGCACTACACGGGGACGTTGACCGACGGCACCAAGTTCGATTCCAGGTGAATACGAAATTTTATCTATACTTCTATAATGTCATATTTTTCTAATGCGATGGTTTGAATCTCTGATTCATGATAAGTACATTATGTGTACGTTAATAAGTTGATAAGAATCTTAGGAAGTCGAGCGCATTAAAGTTATCGCTGTTGTAATTTCGATTGAAATATGTAGTGGGTACGGACCGAAATGTATAGCTGAAGACGCCAAGGTCGTGTGCGCTATGCGGATTTTGCCGGTCAAAAAACATCTTGTAATTCTCAAATTATTGTATTAAATATTTGCACAAAAATATGGCAATATTACCAACGGTAACAATCAATAAAAAATTATTGCAAAATGAAATCAAACACAAAGCAAACGTTCAAACGTAATGATTATTACATCGTGCTACCGCGTTATAATTACTCCTGTTGCACTGCGCATAAATGAAAAAAAAAATAATTGCCCATTCAAAAAATCCGTTCTAAATTTAATTTACGTAGATACTAATAACTTCCTAAAAATTCCGTTTAATGTTTATTGATCGTTCCATTCGAAACTCATCTAATAAACTACAACAATAGTTCGAAACATTAAAATTCCCAAGTTTGATTAAAATTTTAAGGAGAATCTAAATAATGAATATTCATATTAGTTCGAAGTGCACCAACAATTATCGCTAAGCAAGCGAAACTTCCATCGGCTAATGCTGTTTTAATACGGTTTTAATGTTTGTTAGAAAGAATAATAAACTGCACCGTGAGCGAATATAAATATAGCCGTAAAAACGGAAAGTTTCCTTTAAATTACACGAAAAGCGGAAAAAAATAAATAAAAATAAAAATCAATCCGGCCGCGGGATTTCGTTTCACGCCCGACATCGAATCTGAAGAGCGATCAGACAGATACACGTATTCACGATCAATTTAACCTTAACGAAAAATGATAACGATAACTGATGTTTGACACCGTTCGAAAACTTCTAACGCTCCCAATATATCGCCTATTTGTATTATTTATTGATTCGTAACATGTGTACATCTCTCTGTTGTGAAATTATTTAGTTCTATTCGGCAATAGCTGGATTACATTACGTTGTATTCATGTACGATCATATTCAACGAAACTAATTGATTGATTATTAACGAATTTTCGTTCAACTTATATTTAGATAATACGCTTGTTCATTTCATTTTCAATAACGAATTGATGGTTTTATGAACAAAGCGGTTGTTATATTGGATTTATTAAAATTAAATGTTTATTGTGAATTTACAATAATTCAAGATTACAATTAAAAACATGCACATTTAATCAACGGTTATTATCCGGTTGACGGTTTCGATTTAAACAAGAACATCCGTTAGATTTAACAGTTATTGTGTAATTTTACCAGATGCCTTACCTAAAAACACAACCGATTCTCGGTAAAAATACTCTACACGCTGCGCTATTGTTTACTCTATTATAAGTTTGTTAGAACAGAATGCTCTTATATATTCAAAGTACTCAGTGAAATATTCAAAGTTTACTAAAATTTTGTGAATATAAATGATCAGAATACATCTGTAATAAACCAGGATTATAACACTCGCTAAAAACTATCCTTACACATCCCTCCAGTTCCCAAAGATTCCGCTAAGTTATAGCGTATAAACGCATAAAAAAAAACAAATTCGGAACGCCTCGCGAATTTTTCATCCGGCATAAATTTTTCTCGCGGCATTACATGCAAATCCTCGAGAAGCAAGTCGTGTAGAGTGTACCTGACAGATTGAAATATTCCCTCGGAAAATATAAATGTTTATTACGCCCGAAGATTATGCGAGGCCGAAAACGGGACGCGGGGCGCAAAGTTGAACACCATCCGGCTGAATTTTATTTATCATTTGATATAACGCGGTTTCGGAATGGCCCGCGAAGAGGCGTCGCGACGTCGCGCGAATACTCGTCGGCGTACACACACACATCGGATGTAATCTTAGGTGATAAATTACTCGACGACTATCTTCTGGTGGATTTTCTTTGCATAGTAACGAGGTGAGAATTCATCGTAATCGTGCACTATTTGCTTGGAAAAGTGCTACACTACTCTGCGATATTTTTACTCTCTAAATATTACTCTGAATCTTCTCTTAATATACTCTGAATTTTCTTCCCTGTATCTACTTTGAACCTGCTTTATTCTATTCTACTGTAGTATCTTCTTTATTCCATCTACATCCTTTATTTTTTCATCTCCTTTTGCAACTATTTTAAGCGTTTTCTATGTAAATATCTCAACGGCGTTCGTTACATCCTCCACCTTATTGCAACATTCAACAATTTTACTATTTTTCGCTCGCGTTATATTACCGAAACAGCATAAAAACCGCCGTAAAAACCGTCTAAATTTTTGAAAAAAAAATTACACAACCCTCTCAGCCGCCGCTTTAGCGGCGCAGAAACGCACAAGTGTTGTTGTTCCTTCCGCCTCGAAGGTCGGAAAATTTTAATTGCCATCCGAATGTAGCATGTATACGGCGCTCTTCGCGCTTTTAATTAAACCTCCAAGTTCGCCGGTAACCGCTCCGTAACGCCGAAATTAAAAATCCGAAAACGAACAGCCAAGATTCCGGGGCGTGAAAACGCGAAAAATAATACACGGTTATAATTAGAAAGATTCGTGTACGCTCTGTTTCGTACGCATCGCAGCGTTCGTTGAAATTAAACTGGAACCGATACGTCGCGAATATCATAAATAAACAATCCGGGGAGCGCCGCAAAAGCTCGGAAAGCTCGCGGAAAGTCGAGGGGACGCGGCGTTTTTGTCGCGCGCCGCTCGAGAATATTCGCGTTTGATGCAAAACGATACCATCCGCGATGCGGAAGAATCCTAAATCAGATGAACATGCGGTCGGGCTCCTACTTGTTCCGGGCGTATTTTATTCATCCGAAGTGCCTAAACTTCGAACGTATGCAGAGATAAAACTAGATGTATCCCTTGAATTTTTCACGAGGTTTTGTTCACCCGTCGCGCTTCAATTCCCGTCTTATAACAAACCAAAAAAAAAACCGTTTTTTTTATATACATACAACATTATCCGCATATTAATTAGCGAAATGGTTGGTAGGTTTTTCGTCATTAGCTCCGAGGCTTTAATTAACGCTGAACTGTAAGATACAAAGTTTAGTGCGGGGGAACTTTCTCGAGTTCGCTCTCGCTTCGCGGGGTAGTTTGAAGAATCCTATTAGTAAATTATTTTATTCGAGGGTGCGGATGACCTTCGAGAGGCTCCCGCGGAATAATCTTTTACTTCGCGGAACCGAAATTATATCGCTGCTAATTAATTAAGAGGATGGAACGGCGCGAGTTGCGGTTTAGGGGATGAAAAATTCAAGCGTGCAGACTGGATTTCGTGAAGTTTATTAAGCATTTTCGACGGTAGGTCGGGTTTAATTGGGTTAATTGCTCCGGCGTTCGTTAGGTTTTTGATTCTTATGAAGAATGCAGGTATTATCCAGAAGCATTTTCGAATATTCATGCTAGTACTTCACTAGTCCATTAAGAGGCGATTTAATGGTGATGTTTTTTGTTACCTATAATATTCTGAAATTTCGGATTACAAAATGCAACCATTTCATTTCCAAAAAAAATAGAGTAACAGCTTTGTTTATCTTTCATTCCACCCAATCTACAGTCATATTTATTTTTCTAACGGGAACAGTTTGATTTCCTGAACCAAATTCATGTTCGAATAGTAACCTCTTTCGCATCGAAAAACACCCGCATTCGCTATGAATATATAATCACTCGACCATCGAAATCAATTCTCTTCCATAATTGATTTATTAATCAACGATTTCGGCACAATTAAGCAAATCCACCTTTATTAACAATGCAAGTACGAACCCGACGCCTATACGAACATCCCGAAATTCTCTTTCCCGTTAACCGAAGCGAAATCTATGTAAATCAATACGCGAATTAGATCATCATAATTAAATACCGGCCGAGGTAATTTTATTGACCGAGCTCCGGTGATAACAGCTCGCCCAACACTCGGTAATATCATCATAAATTAATGGCCTCATCCCCTATATAAACACAGCGCCACACTCGCTTCGAATTGATTAATCCAATTTTTGCTCTATATAACCCAGTTAGTAGTTAGTAGAAACCTCTGCGAGGTTAAATTGCGGCCATACAAGAACAACGATCCAATGAAGACTTTATTAGTCACTTGCCGGACGCGCTTTGAAATGCATATGCATATATTTAGGCAGCGGTGATAGAACATTTGACAGATCGGCCGAGTATTTCCCCGGAGGGTTGTACGTTAGGTAGGAAGCGAACGGCTCCGGGGAATCCCGTGAATTTGTAAACCGGCCGTTGTGCACACATACACACATGCACACAGGGTGTCGGGCGTAAGCGGGCGTAAAAGCAATCTTCGCTCTCCTCGCCATGAATAAATACGCGCCGAATATCCGAGCTGCCCGTCCTAAAATATTTCTCTCGGTGCCGGTCTCCTCGCTGTGGAGGAATATAAATTTGTCCAGGCGACGGGACCGGTCGAAGCGATGCTATTCGATTGCTTTTCGAGGAAATTAAGTACTTACAAGATGAAAGTTATTGTTTATTGCTCGATAATCGACGAAGCGGTTGCATAACAATAGTTCTTCATTGATACGATGTGATAAGTTATCTTAAACACCCCAAAAATAAGAATTTTTGAAGTGTAATAAGTGTTGCCTATAACCCAAGAAAAAGCTTAATAGATGCTCCCGCTGAATACAAAAACTTCTTTACATTTACATTAAGTGAATGCAATTTGTCAAAACATTACCTGCAGGAGTAAACAACGGGTAGAAGCGCTTCGCAAGAAACCCACCTAATTTCCCGGACAGCAAACTCGACGTGAAACAAGAGGAAAAAAGCTCAATTATTTAGGTATCCAAACGACAGCATTTCTCGAAAACTTTCCCCGGTCCGGCGATTTCGGTCGATCGTAAATTTTTTAACACGTCGACGGACGCT